TAAAATGTGTCTATATTGAGAAATGTAAAACTTCACAAGGAGTCATGGTGGTTCATGGTTAAGTCCTCTGTGAACCAAAAGGTGGTGTGTTGAACAGCTGTAGAAAGATGTGACAACCCTGAAGACTCAGTCTTGCAAATGCTATGTGGCAATTCTGCTCTGTGCTACAAGAGTTACTTTGAGGTGCAGTTGACTGTAATGCAGTGGGTTTGGGTTCACTTGCATGTAAAACTTGCTAAAGTTATTTGTTGTGATTTTATTTATACATGTCTTGGGAATGTGTGTTTTGAGTACTTTAGTAATACTACTATTTACAATCATTGTGTCTAGAATTTAAAATTTTTTAGTCAACAGACTTTAAAGAGACTAAAATAATTGGTCCATTATAGGCACCATGCTGAGAGAATTCAGAGAACTCCAGCATTCCTTCGTAGATCTCTTTTCCATCTACACTCACCATCTTGGCCTTTTTTTTTTAAAAAAAAATCCTTTTGTGTGTAGAGTAGGAAGCCTTGGGTTTATAAAAGGAATATATATATCATGTGTATATGTGTGTGTGTGTGTGTGTGTGTATACACACACACACGAAATAACTAAAAGCTAGCTTAAAAGTTTGAGCACACTCAGAGAATGGACCTCTGGTGGCCTAGTGATAAGGAACTGTGCTGCAATCCAAAAAGCAGGCGGTTTGAATCCACCAGCTGCTCTGTGAGAGGATGGCCAATCTCCTCTTGTGCAATTTACTATCTCTGAAAACTCACTGGAGGGTCACTATGGATCAGTTCCGGCTCAGAGGTACACAACAACCACTCACCTGAAGATACCCCTGAAGAAAGGCTTGCTGATCTACTTCTATAGTCAGCGATTGAGAACCCTGTGGATACTCTTCTTTCTGCCCTCACACACAGAGATTGACACGAGTCTGTGGCACTGTGTCAGAGACTGCCTACTTGCCATCTTCACGGGTGTCTCAAAGTGTCTCCAGTCTTCTCCAGGACTAGGTTGGGGGTTGTTGTTATGTGCCGTTGAGTTGCATGCGACCCATAGCGACCTTATGTACAGCAGTTCTGAAGCCTGCCCTGTCCTGAGCCAGTCTTATTAATCTCAGCATGCCAACCAACCCTCATTCCCTAGTCACTGTATCAATCCATCTCATCCAGGGTCTTCCTCTCCTGTGCTGTCCCTTTTGAGCATGATGTCCTTCTCAAAGAACCAATCTCTCCTGGTCTCATGCCCAAAGTATATGAGGCAGAGCTTTAAAATTCTAGCCTCCAAGGAGAAACTTGGTTTTACCCTCTCTAGGACAGACCTATTTGTTTTCTTGGTCTATGGTATGTTCAAGACTTCTCCAGCACCACAACTCTAAGGCATTGATTCTTCTGTCATCCTTAGTCATTGTCCAGCTCTCTGAAACATAAGACGTAATTGTGAAGTCAATTGCCTGGATTAACGTCCATTTTCCCAGAAGTCCATAGGCTTACTTAACATGAGGCTTTCTGTCTCAAATCTGCCTCAGAAACTCTGGGCTCCCCACACAGACGAGGTCTGGGTTTTCATCGTTGGCCTCATAACAGGTTAAGGGTAGAGATAGAGAAACTACATTTTTTTCAATGAAATGACTCAATTCCGCAGGTTTGTGTCACAGTCGTTTTCCGGCAGAGGAACTAGGGTGGGGCTGGATACATAAACCACGATTGGCTATGAGCTGATAATTATTGAAACTGGTTGATGAATACACAAAGAATATTACCAGTAAATTATATTAAATAGTGAAATGCATATGCATGATAATAACTTATTGTCATCGAGTCAAAATCTTCCAGTTGATTTCACCTGCTCTAAATCACGTGAGAATTGCTGCTGGTGGATTTGCACTATCACGAAGTGCCACTTTTGGGTTAGAAGGACAGTTCTCTATCAACTATGCCACGAGGGCTCCCCACATACACTATAGATACTGAGAAATAAATACTAGTATTCTCTCCATTTGTCATGTTTAGAACTTTCTATGATTAAAAAAAAATAAATTCCCTGTATTGCCAAAGACCAAGAATTCTATTCCCTGGAAGATTACAGTTTAGAAAGGTGTAAGGGCGAGCTTCCCTCTGTCACATGGATTTGCTTTAAGTTGGAATTGACTCAGTGGCAACTAACAAGATATTGAGAATTTTATATTTCTTCATTATTTCCATTCCTTTCACCATACTGCATGGACTGTTCAGTGGCCTTCTAGCCAGTTCTCTTGTTTCAGTTCTCGTCAGCAGCAGTATACTCTCAACACAGCATTCTGAGCAAACCGATTAAACTTGTATATCCCCTGCTCAAAATCCAAAACCTCTGTAAATTTTCATTAAAGTTCATAATAATAATTTTAAAAATTAAAAAAATAGACTTCAGAGATGGAGGATAATGAAAAATTTTTACATTTCCTTACCTAATATCTGAAAGAGCACATTTGTTTCCAGCAATAGCCATGACAATGTTCTCTGGACCATATTCTTTCAGTTCTTTAACCATTTTTTCAGGGTATGAAATGAATCCTAAACTAAAAGTAAAAATAAATTACTGGAAGAAAACACACACACACACACAATCCCTTCAGTGTCTTTTCATCTCACAGTCTGTAAATGCCTGAATCCTTTCCAGTGGCTTTTGAGGCAGTATGTGATTCAGATAGCCACAGCTTCTGCAGCTCCCCTTCTCACTCATTTTACTGATTCCACACTGACCTGCGTGTCTTAGTATTTCTACATCATGCCTTAGGCTTTCGCTGTAGCTGTTACTCCCGCCTGGAACACTGTGACATCTGCTGGGCCCCTCCACCTCACTTGGTTTCTGTGATGTCACTTTCTCTGTGAAGACTTCCCGCCTACTCTGTTTAGAAATTGTGACACCTAACAGGATAGAGCAGGTTTCAGATCTATTGTATATAGGGTCACTGTGAGTCACAAGTGACACGAAGGCACATAACAACAACAATGCACTCTTCATCCCTTTACTTTGTTGCTCAGCACACTATTTTGTTTGTCATCTGTTTACTCACTCTCAAAATTAAGCTTGATTAGGGAAGAGATTATAATGTGCTTTGTTCATTTATATACCTTCCACATGCTTGATGCATGATAAAATAAAACAATAACAAAACTCCAACCACACAACCTCAAGTTGATTCCAGCACCATGTGTTGCACTCTGTAGGACCGCTTCATAGGGTTTTTTGTTGAATTTACAGAACATCACCAGACCTTTCTTTCAAAGCACATTTGGGTACGTTTGAACTGCCAACCTTGAAGTCAGTGATGAAGTGCTAACTGTTTGTGCCATCCACTGACCTTGTATGCTTGATAGCAAACCTAACCCATTGCTGTCTATTTGATTCTTATTTGGCATCCTTATAGAAAAGAGTAGAGCTACCTTCTAAGTGTTCTAAGACTATGATCTTTATAGAAGCAGAGCACTTAAGTGCACTTTCAGGACTCCTCAGATGCCTAGTAGATGAAGGTAAATGTTGGTTTTTTTCTTTTTAACCTTTAAATTTTACAAAGCAAAGTAAAATAAAGCTTTTCAACACTCGGAGTATGTGATGATCCATCTTTATTTTCAGACCTATATAATACCCAGTAGAAGGTCAGAAAAAGAAGACCCTCAATAAGATTGATTAACGTGGTAGCTGCAGTGGTGGTGAAGCAGAGCGGAGTCTGTGAGGATGGCACCAGACCGGGCAGGTGTTTTTTCTATTGTCCATAGATGGTTCCTGAGTCAGAGCCAATTCCATGGCACCTGACAGTGTCAAGCAAAAGGGCATGTGCCCAGTGGATCTTCAGAAAATAAGTCTAAGTAATTTGAGGAAGAAAATCAGTGTGCCTTGATTTTGTGAAGGAAATGTCTAATAAGAGTACTTTTCTATACTTTTAATTTTTGAGGTAGGTTGAAAATGCTCTCTAAAACCACTCTGGGAGATAGAGATCTGACAACAAAGCAACTTTAGATCGTTAATCCTTAAGGAATGATGGTCATATATAAGGTAAAACTATATGGTGTATCTTCAGGGAACCTTACCTTACAGTGGTTTTTAGCTCTCAAGAATTCAGTTCATGGGGGAGCGGAGAAAAATGTGCAACAATGAAGAAATGAAAACCCAACCTTTCTGTAAACTTCCATTAATATCACAATTAAAAAATTAAAGAGAAAAAATTCACCTCTTAATATCTAATATCAAGTGTTAATATTTTGGAATGGAGAGACTTTTCCAAATCAACTTCCCTGAATTAGGGCGAGAAGAGTCTCTTCAGTCCACATGTTCAGTAGACTGTTTCTCCTGGGTGGGGCTGTTCCAAGGCAGAGTTGAGGTAAAGAAAATGAAGAGTATTTGCTGATGCATCACATTTTGGTATGCTTAAGCACAAATATTTTTATTTAGACATTTAAGGAAAGGACTCTATTTGGGAGGATGTTATTGTACTATATTGTTAAAAGTTGGTTTTGGATTTTATATTTAACTGTTGTTAATCTCATTGATATAATAAACTTACTAATATTTTAATTTATCTAATTTAGAATTAAGCTGTACATTTTTATTGTGCTTAAAATAGCATAGTGGGGGTGGTTGTTAAATACTGTCGAGTCCCAATCAACCCAAACTCTCTAGTGCATTTTCAGAGGCAGTAAATCACACAAGAGAAAATTGCCCATCCTTCTCCTGATTACTAGCTAGCATAATTGTTCCATATGTTAAAAAATATACCTGTTGAATTACCAGTTTGTTAAATTATCCTGGGTTTTTTTAATTCACATTGTATTTTCTTATGATCATTCCCATACATTGTGTCTTATAAAATTAATCACCATTGATCTACACACTATCATTTTTATAATCCATAATAACCAGGAATGATCAGTGGTCTCCTGAATGGGATAATTTGCTACCAAATGAAGAAATGTATCTGTGGGACATTATTGAACAGATATTTAATGGTGCATACATGATAATCTCTGCCACAGGTGTGAACATCACAGATGTCGTCAGATGACAGAAGATCCAGGACTCGTGGCTACGATGCCGTCCTGGGGGACTTGCCCTATCCAGATGACACCATAAGAACCCTACAGACCCTTCGTGACAGCAACCTGGCCGTGAGCTCTGATCCTTTGCCACCACCCCCTCTCCCGTTACAGCCACCATTCGGTCCAGACTTCTACTCAAGTGACACAGAGGAACCAGCCATAGCCCCAGATCTCAAACCCATCAGGCGCTTTGTCCCTGACTCCTGGAAGAACTTCTTCAGAGGGAAGAAAAAGGCCCCAGAATGGGATAAGCCAGTGTGCAACATCAGATACATCTCTGATGGCGTGGAGTGCTCACCTCCAGCCTCTCCAGCAAGATCTAACCACCATTCCCTCCCCAACTCCTGCAAAGATCCTTACGGAGGGTCAGAAGGAACCATCAGCTCCCAGAAAGAGGCCAATGCGATGCTTCCCCACGATCCCTATGGATCTCTGAGCCGACACACACAAACAGCTCGGACATACAGTGAAAAGGTAGAAGAGTATAACCTGAAGTACTCCTACATGAAGTCGTGGGCCGGCCTGCTGCGGATTCTGGGTGTTGTGGAGCTGCTGCTGGGTGCAGGCGTCTTCGCTTGTGTCACGGCTTACATTCACAAGGACAGTGAGTGGTATAACTTGTTTGGTTATTCACAGCCCTTCGGCATCGGAGGCGTTGGCAACCTCGGCAGCATGTATGGGGGCTATTACTACAGTGGTCCTAAGACCCCTTTTATACTCGTGGTGGCTGGTTTAGCTTGGATCTCCACCATTATTATTTTGGTTCTTGGCATGACCATGTATTACCGGACCATTCTTTTGGACTCTAATTGGTGGCCCCTAACTGAGTTTGGAATTAACATCGCCTTGTTTATTTTGTATATGGCTGCAGCCATAGTCTATGTGAATGATACCAACCGAGGGGGACTCTGCTATTATCCACTGTTTAATACGCCCATGAACGCAGCGTTCTGTCGGGTGGAAGGAGGACAGATCGCAGCCATGATCTTCCTGTTTGTCACAATGATTGTGTATCTCATTAGTGCTTTAGTCTGTCTGAAGCTGTGGAGACATGAGGCAGCTCGGAGACATCGAGAATACATGCAGCAACAGGAGGCAAGTGATTTCATAGTCTGTTGTTGGGTTCCCCCACCCCCTTTGTTTATGCTCTTAATATATATTTCTCAAAACCAATAGTTTTTATAGAAATTTTTTAAAAAAAATAATGATCTAAAGTTCAATAATTCTAGACCAGCAGGAGTGGCATCCACTTCCTAAGCCACATGCCTCTGGAAACTATGAACTTGGAGAAACGATAGTTATACAAAGGCTTCAGGTCTTTTGTTCATAGGGTTGCTTTGAGTCGTGCTTGACTTGACAGCAGTCAACAACAACACAACAACATCCCAGACATGCTTTGACTCTGGCACATTCCTGTTATGTTACAGGAGTATAATGTATAGTTTGTGGGCTGCATTATTGTGTGTTTGATGCTTAAGATGAAAACATACTACTAAATTTCTACAAAGAAGAGTAGCATGCTTGTTAAAAATAATGTCTTATTGTTAAAGTAAGTTCAAGAAGAATCTTAATTCTTTTCCTATAGTAAGATAGAAAAACAATAGTTTTGCAGTTTCAGGAGCAAAGTACAAATTTAAATCTGATAGGTTAAGTCTTACTTTCTTCTAATGACTTAAATAAAACCAAGTAAGAATATGGTGAACAACAATAACATACTTCGACAGGTTTGGAAGCAGGAGTGGCATCCACTTCATAAATAACATGCTGGAAGCTCTATAAACTTTGATAAATGTCAATAGTTGTAGAGGGGCTTCAGGCCTTTTGTTCATAAGGTCGCTATGAGTCATGCTCAACTCAAAGACAATCAACAACAATAATAACATTATTTTTAGAGGAGTTATGTATTTTGGAATTAGAATGGACATCTTGCACTTGATAACTTCTAGAATTTAGCTAATTAAATGTAATTGTAATAAGATTGGCACAGGACAGAGCAGGGTTTAAGGCTGTTGGACATAGGGTTGCTATGAGTTGCAGGCGACTTGAGGTCACATAACAACAACAACAATATTATTTTGAGGTAAAGAGTAAATTATAATAAGATTATAGAAACTTATTTCAACTGAAAAATAGTAGTTGTGTTGGAATGTGTTCTGCTAGCTGCAGTACATCCTGAAATAAGTTAATGTTTTCTTTTTTTTTTTTAATGTTTTCCATTCTTCTGAAGAGATATACAAATTAGCATTTCCTGTGTCACTGAAAAATTCAATATTTACCTTAAAGGTTTTTTCTTAATTTTTAGTTGACTATTTCATTAATTTTCCCTTTCCTATTTTTCCTGAGATTTTATAGGTACGATACAAATTGCCTATCATAGTATATAATAGGTAAACATGTAAATGAAAATTATCTAAGTCCTGTTATTATTTATTCAGTAGTTCACACTAACATTTAGATTTTGTGTTTTAATCTTTTGCATGAATTTGATGCATAGGAAAACCAATAAATCTCAATAATTTTTGTAGTAAGTACTTTGTTTTATAGCTAAAACCCCAAAATTTTAAAATGTTTTGATATGACCCACATACTCAAATATATTTATTTTACTCATCCCCTAGTCTGCGCTGTCTGCATATTTGCAGTTCTGCCGTGGGTACGCTGATTGACAGCTAAGTAGTTCGGGCTCTTCCCCTTGCTCTCCACTGCAGATCAGAATGAAGCTGAGGGAGTAGAAGGAGCATTAGCTCCTACTTGTCCTTCATGTAGATAATCAGCCTGGTTGACCTGAGATTGTGCTATCAATATAAAGGACTGAAGATATTTGTAAAGCAGCTTTGAAAAATCACTTTCTTTTTGTTCCAGATAAATGAGCCATCATTGTCATCTAAAAGGAAAATGGTAAGAATAAAGTTCTCATATATTATACTTTGATGTTTATATGCAGTGCCTGCAGTAATGGTTGTGAGTGTGTCAGAGATGAGATTGTGAGAATGGCACAGGATAGGACAGGGTTGAGATGTGCTGTTCATAGGGTTGCTATGAGTCATAGTTGATGGCATCTAACAACAAAAGAACATGTCTAGATTTGTTAACTGCTTTTTCCTCTTGCCTCTTTATCTACATGGTAGAACTCCTGTTTGTGAAAGTGGGCTTTGAGTTCATTGAGTGAAAAAGAATTCTTATAGTTTAAATTTGCATTTCCTTCATCAAGAATGAGTTTGAGTTTGTATTCTTTCACTAATACCAGTATTCATATTCTATTTTTTTATTGAGTTGTTAATTTGTATAAGTTCTTTGTTATATGGATATATTTTTAAAATATATTTTATAATATTTTCTTTAACTTTATATGTTATAAAATACCTATATTATTTGGAAGTGTTTTATTATGCTGAAGTAAGGGATTTATGACTTGGTTGAGGAGTCTGGCCAATGGCTCATGATTAATACATCAGAGTTATCATTCATTCATTGAGCATGGGCCAACCATGCTATATAGGCTGATGATATAAATACTGCTTTTCCAGAAGTGTACAAATTTAGTGGAAAAGAAGCATGCACAGACAGATTAGCCAAGGGCTAAAGAGCAATTATTTCAGTCTAGAGACTAAGGTGTGCTTGATCTAGGCCATGGTCTTTGGAATTACTTGCTGTGCATCAGAGAGCTGGACAGTGACAAAGGATGACAGAAGAAGAATTGATGTCTTTGAGTTGTGGTGCGGAGAAGAATATTGAACCTTCCATGGGCCACCAAGAGAACAAATAGGTCTATCTTAGAGAGGATGAAACTAAGTTTTCCCTTGGAAGCAAGAATTTTGAAGCTCCTTCTCATATACTTTGATCTTGTGGCCAGGAAGATTAGTCTTTAGAGAAGGACATCAGGTTTGGAAGGGTAGAGGGACAGCACAGGAGAGGAAAACCCTGGATGAGATGGATTGACACGGTAACTGGGGCTGTGGGATTAGGTGTGTCGGAGTCAACAAGACTCTCAGCTCAGGGCAGGTTCATAGTTATTGTACATAGGATTGCTATGGGTCTCAAGAGACTCAACAGCACAGAACAGCGATGTGTGTGTATACACATATGAATATATGTATATGTAAATGAGAGCCAAGGATAATTACCTTTATAAAGTTAAAATAATAGCATGCTTAGAGAATTCTATTTCTCTAACAATATCTTTTTTATTTATTTTTTTAAATTGTTTTTGTTTTTTTGTGTGTATTGTCAAATCGGATCTAACTAGTACAGGAGGAGATTGTCCCTCCTTCAGCAGAGCATCTGGTGGATTTGAACCGCATGTTATTAGTCCACCAGAGCTCCCTTATTTCTCTTACAGTCTCTTAGAGAAAGAAGTTTGTGGATAACAGTGCCTCAAAATCAGTCTGTTTCTTGACCAGAGCACATAGTATCGCTTTGGAGTCTAATATTAGCCACTTCCCTCCTCTCATTTTATATTGGTTTGCATACAGAATTCGTATATATTGTATTTCTATTTTTACAATATTGATCTTATGCAGTATTTGTCCTTATGAGACTGTGTTAGTTCACTCAGCATAAATGCTTTTTAGACTCTCCCATGGTGTGTGGGCATTTGGACTGTTTCCATTTTCTTGATATTGTGAAGTATGCTGCTATGAACATAGGTGTACAAATCTCCCTTTGTGTTTCAGTTCTAATTTCCTTGGGGTATATTCCTAGTAGCAGAATAGCTGTGTCATATGAGATTTCTGTTTTTTGCTTTTTGAGGAAACCATCAAACTGCCTTCCAGAGTTATTGTACCATTATACAATCCCACCAGCAGAATTAGCCACCTTTTTAAAAGGAACACTTCCTTATCCATTATGCCAGCAGAGCTGATAATGGTAATTGCCTTTTAAGAGGGCAGGTGACTAACAAGAGGTATGAAAGAAGGAGAATTTCTTTTTTACCCTTTTGAATTATATATTACATGTGTATGTTGTTGTGTTGTGTACCATAGAGTTGGAACCAACCCATAGCTGACCCTCCAGCAGGTTTTCAGGGACAGTTAATCTCACAGGAGGAGACTGCCCATTTTTCTGCCTGGAGCGGCTGGTGGTCTCAAATCATGTGATTTTAGGATTGCAGCGCAGCTTTTTACGACTAGGCTCCCAGAGCTATGTGTACATTACCTTTAAAATCTTTTTTTGAAAAAAGAGTGCTAATGTCTATGGCAAGTTTTGGGGTTTTTTTTTTAAAGTATAATTTACATTTTATTTTCTTTCAGGTTAGTTTTTTTCCTAGTCTTTAAGGAATCAAATCCTTACATGGACTTTGGTGGTGGTCGTGGGGCAGCACCTGCAGGTCTAAACCTGGGTGGGGGTGTTATCCTTCCGAGCTTCTGTCGGTTCCTCACCACCTTGCTGTGAATGGCACAGCTCACACAATAGTGCAGCTTCACCTACAGCTTGAGGAGTACATATGCATTAAAGATACTCACTTCGCTGTAGCAGGCACAATTTGTGCAGACCATGGGCTGCATAGAGCCATGGCCTTTTTTGGCAAGACTGATGTTTCTCCTTTTCCTTGTCATCTTGGAAGCAAGGACCCTATAGCATGGCAAGGTTTTTTTTCTTGGTCAGCCCTCAAGACAGGTTCCTGGGAAGGCCAGCGGCTCTCAGGTTGCTGATTTCAAAGGCTGACGTGTCCAGGTTCATCGCCGTGGTGACTGCTGGCTTCAGAGACTGAAAAATCCAAGGTCATTTAGTTGGGAAGCAGGTCACATAGTGAATCATTGAATATTGATGAGGCCAGGAGATCATGGGTCAGATAGCCAGAGGTGACTCCGACAAAAAAGCTCTCTAGTTCCCTTGACCAGAGTCCAAACACAAACACCATGCAAGCCACACCCCTGCGGAGGCTTTCCTTCATCTGATAAGGCCACATATTATTCCTTCCTTATTAACATTGTGTTGTTGATGAGCACCATTGAGTCAGAACCAGCTGACCCTCCATCAGGTTTTAAGAGACAGTAAATGGGAGGACATTGTCCGTCCATCTCCCACGGAGCAGCAGCGGTGGCTGCGAACAGCATGCCTGTGAGATTGCGGTGCAATTTCTTTCCACTAGGCCACCAGAGCTCTAACATTATAGAGGTTAAAATTTATAGCACATGTTGTTGTGTGTCATCAAGTCCACTAGACTCATAGCCTTCCTATGAACAGTAAATCTGAACCTTGCCCTATCCTGCCTGTCGTCACCAGCTCTGAAAAACATCAGTCCATTGTTGCAGTCACATGTCAGTCCATCTTGTTGGGAGGGTCATCTTCTCTTTGACCCTCCACCTTTCCTGGCATGATGTCTTTTTCCAAGGATTGGCTCCTTTTGACAACTTGCTCAAAGTCTATGAGATGAGGCTTAATCATCTTCACCTCTAAGGAGAACCCTGGTTACCCTTACAAGACAGACTTATTCTTTTTACAATAGACTGGAAGAGATCTATATTTGTTCCCATTCCAAAGAAAGGTGACCCAACTGAGTGTGGAAACTACAGAACAGTGTCATTGATTTCACATGCAA